ATTTTTTTTTTTTTTTTGGGGGGGGGCAAGAAATCTTGACCTACACCAAAAGTGGGCATTGCCCTACCTAAAGGAGAAGTTTGGTTTCATTGGTGTGTGTATTTGTTTCGTCGCCTATGACACGAAAGGGCGTATCCCTGGTTTCTTACTTTTTCAGGAGAGCGATTAAAAAATTTTCAAACTTTGGTTGCTTCATCCTTTTCCCTTGTCAATTTAGTAAATTGCATCCTACAATCAGGATATTTGGATATTGTGGAGATGATAAGATATCAAACAATGAGCAAGGTTAGTTTTGCACTGGGTTTTTAAAAAAATAATTTCACGGCGAAAATGTGCCATCTGTTGGCACACGCCTTTTAGTGTAGTTGTTCAATTTTTCGTCCTGTCCAAAATCAGTGTATACGCCCATGTATACGCCCACTGTTTTGAGTCTCCACACCATTAATTTCAGTCTTCAGACTGACCAGTAGAGGATGAAATTTCTCCAAGACATCACTCCTCACTCCCCCATCCACCCGCCAAATCTTCCCGTTTCTCTTCTCCTCCCCATACCTCTCTGTCTGTCTGTCTGTCTGTCTGTCTGTCTGTCTGTCTGTCTGTCTGTCTGTCTGTCTGTCTGTCTGTCCGTCCGTCCGTCCGCCCGTCCGTCCGTCTGTCTGACTGGAAAGTCTTCTCTTGTAGAACAAAGCATCTTCAGATGAAATTGGCAAGTATATGACTTGCTGGAGATCAAAGTTCCCAACCAGAATGCTGTGGTCAGCTTGAACCATCTTCTTGCAATCCTCCTTAATTTGTTGCATCTTTTGTTTTTCTGCATCGTGCCTGTTGTAAGTTTCCCTGAGTTCATTGTTCTGTGCTTCGTCCCCTTTTCGGAAAGAGTTGCAGAGTGAGCATTGGTCCTTTTTAGGACTATGAAAGGCCAGGTTTTTCGTCTTGAACACTCGTCTGAATGCGTGAAAACTTGGGATGACATTGCATGGATTTGTTTTCACGAACGCGTCGTACCTTTTGGACAATGTGAGGCTTGGGTTGAGATACTCTTTGCTGGAAGAGGCCCTACAGTAGTGGGATTCAATGCGTGGAAATCTGTCAATGTGTTGACTGGTCATCTTCCTGATTTGTTCTTCTCTTGTCTTCATCTGCTCTGATTGCCTGCCCCCTCGCTTGTCTTCTTCCACAATGCCGGTCTCCGTAATCTTTGACAAAACAACTCGGGCACATTTCTCTGAAATACCTAAAATTGCAAGGAATGTGTTCATACACACTTTCAAGCGCTTTCCACTGACTGATGTAATAAGCACGCGTTTTGCTACGTCAAGAGTTTGGTTTCCCGACCTTGGGCTCTGTCGTCTCAGTTGGCCATGCAACGAACTCTCGCTGCTTCTGCAGGTCAGCCAGTTTATAAAAGTCCTGAAATATCTCCCTCCTATCCTTTCCTGATATTCCAGAACACTGACGGCCAGCTCTCGACATTCCATTCAAAGCAGCCCTTTTTCATCATTTGTGCTGGAACAACCTTTTTCGTGTCGGCGCTCATGTACTCTTCGTCAGATTGTCGCTTTCGTCTGATTCGGTGGTGCTGAGTGTAAGCGTACG